ATTTGAACAAACTTGGTAGCCCTTCACCCAAGCATGCTACTGGCCAAATATCATCTCCCTGGGCATTTTGGTTATTGAGAAGAAGATGTTTAAAGTTTTTGACATATTTGACCCCTGTGACCTTGAAAATAGGTGAAGGTCATTTATTTGAACAAACTTGGTAGCCCTTCATCCAAGTTTGCTTCTGGCCAAATACTGACACCCTAGGCCTTTCGGTTATTAAGAAGAAGTCGTTTAAAGTAAAATATTGACGCCGGGCCGGACCACTGACCACGGCATAAGCTCACTTGGCACTTCGTGCCAGGTGAGCTAAAAATTAGTCTGATTGGTTTCATTGGAAAATTTCCTGCAGATTCGGAGCTGGTCAACTGTGTTCCACTACATCACCACATGATGCTACTTATACCCAAAATGAAATAATCACCTTCACACAGTTAACATAAAAAAGTTGTGAAATGTCTTGAGGCACTTGGCATGATGTCTTTAAAAAGATGAATCAAAATAGAAATAATAATGGAATCCAAACTCTGATTGAAAATAATCACAATAATGTCTGGATTTCTATGTTTTATTGTTGATTTCCAGTAACAGTTAACTCAAAGCTTGATTTGCATACACAATTACTGTACGGCTTACATCAGGTACATACACATTAACTGTACAGCTTACATTAGGTACATATACATTTACTGTACGGCTTACATCAGGTACATATACATTAAAGCCACATTAGTTAGCAATGTAATTGTCATGTTACATTGAAATTATCACATTGCACAGGAAGACAGTCTCTGATGATATTTAGGAAACTGATATCTAGTTATATACGACATCAAATCAATTCCAAAACATGAAAGACTGTCAGAATTTAGTTAGTCATATACTGTAGAACCATTTATGTTCGTGGGGCTAACATTTCGTGGTTTTCATATATACTAGCCTGTTTCAAAGACATTATATTTTGATGATTTCTGATTTCCCCCTATCTATGTCATACTTAATTGATGTTTTCGTGGGGATTTAATTTCGTGGATTTTTGTTATCCACAAAATAAACGGAATTTAATGTCCCATGAACATTTATGAATTTACAATATATTTATTTTCCTGTATACTGCACACATTTTGACATTATAGCCAAGCATGAAATAGTCCCTTCACTATTGAATAATATAAGTCCAACTTCTTTGACCTTTGCATCTTCCTGACCTCCTGTAACCTCTATGAAGTCCTTCTGACTGGCTTGATCCTCACATGTTGTCCTCACACCTGAAGATAAAAATACAGATTAAGATATACACACAGCTAAAATACAATTTGGATGACAGATATTACAAATCATCAGTCCTTGATCACTTTTGTGATTTACATCTGGGTCATAAGATATTCTTTGTAACGAAACTAAAAAATATATACTCGTTTCTATTAGGTCTTGCCTATTATTTTGTTACAGAAGAGGAAAAATTCAAAAACGACATAATTCGACCCATATTTTAGTTTGTTTCCATAAGCAAGCAGTTTATGGAGAGTTCCATAGTCTTGGGTTAGTTATAATCCAAAACCACATATCTGTACAAATATTAGCAAACTGAAAAATGATTCAGGCCACTTAATACTGTTGATACTGAAGTGTTTTATTATCGCATCTGCACAACTATACAAAAAAAAAAATAAACAGATGACCCAATTAAGATATGGATTTATTGCAACCTCAACTGCAGGTACCCTAATCATACTCTCATGCCGAGGGAGGGCCGCCCTTCGTGCAGATACTACAACTGTTTTCTCAATTATTTGCAGTTCATTAAGGCTTGCTTTACAATCAGTGGAAAACATCTGGACCAATGTTGAGTGCCCATATGTGTTTAGTAGAAGGAAGGCCAGCATTACTACAAACAGGGCTCCTGTAAATGGTATAGATACACGAAACACATATGGCTTAAAGAAAACAGAGCCACACAAAGCGAAGTCTCCTCAACCATTTTTGTAAATATTTACAAAGTTACAGAAGCTTCAACAATCAATTTGTGTCAGACGGTCCCAGGAACATGTTGAACAGGTTTTTTCCTGATAAAACCGTGGGTTAATTTAAGGCAAAATGAAACAAGATATGTGTTTACAATTAACATAAAAAGATTGGACTCCCAGTCTTTATGTACATGTATTTATTTACAACGGAAAGTGAACTTGTGGCAGAAATCCATAGTAATCTGATAAAGCTGTTGATATAAGGCCAAAGAAAACAATATATGTGTTAACAGGTACAGAAAAATGACCTAATATTCCATTTTGCCTTTTCAAAATGGAAAAGAATTTATGACTTATGGCACAGGAAAGAATTCAACTTATGTCATGTAACCCAGCTGGGATCATTGTCAAGTGGATGAATTTTTCTGACAAAACTGGTAGATCTAGGGCCGAAGTATACAAGATCTATGTTTAAAAACAGGATCGAATCCCTCCATACTTTTAGACTGTGTGTAATGGGAATTTAACTTTTATCAGATGGTCTTGATATCAAACCTGGTAAAGTCGATTTGATTTCTGATAACATTATTCATTTAATGTCAAATGAAACTAGACACATGTTAACAGTTACCAGAGAACGGTCTCCAACATGATATACACTTAAAATGACTGTTACAAATAGTAAGGAACTTGCTAGATGAAACAGGAGGCAACTTCACACTAGCTCTGTATACATCCTTCCTCACTGGTACAATTAAGCTGTAAAGATCAGACTTGGTATCACTGAGAAAAAAGGTCTTAAAACATCATCGCCGAGATTCCATATGTCATCCTAAGGATTCTGTCTGGCACGCATAAACACAGCTCACTTTCATCTCAAATGCCTGACTGTCATAAACCCATAGAAAAAGCCCACAAACCATAACATATATTAATTAGAAGAACATTCTTGCTAACACTGATAAACGTTTGACTCCAGATTCTTGTTTTTCTAGACCAGAAATGTAAGGAAATACATTTTTCCAACTCATACTTGTGGCCAGCTTTTCCTTTTTTACTTGTAATTGCTCTTTATGTACATGAATTGTTACGATTTTTGCTGTCAAGCAAATTATAATTCTATGGACCAGAAATGTAAGGAACCAAATTTTCCAACTCATACTTGTGGCAAGCTTTTTCCTTTTTACTTGTTATTGCTCTGAGTTATACAACTGGACTAAAATATGCGATGAAGCATGTGTATTATTTATTTCAACCAATAAACATGAGAAAATTGAAAATGCTCTACCTGATTATTGTTGATTGGCTATCTAACCTACCTTGACCTTTTCAATTATCAATGTCTCAACTATAATTACTTGACCATGACCATACAATTCTACTTAGTTTTTCAGTGCCTAATTTTGACCTTAACCTTAATTATCTGTAGTCTACATCCTAACATTGGTCATGAAATCCACACCAGCCATTTTATAAGGCCTTAGATAAATGTTTAATTGCCATTCAACTTCATTTTTACTTTGACCTTTTTGTAGAAATTCAAACCCTTTCATTAGGCCTTGCCTTCATTTTAACCTGAATTCTTTACCTTGACATTCATTTTGATCATGAAATATTCTTTCTACTGAAACAGTTTTTCCCTTAGTATTCACTATAACATTGATTTTAACCATGTTATTTATTGACATTATCTTTCATTTTTAAGATATACAATTGTTATGACCATAACTAATACCATCATTACCAGAAAACTTGACATTGTGTTTCTATTCAAACTGTCCAAGTATGGCTGGTCATATTTACAACGGTTTGGTTGTTTAGACTGTTCCCAATCTTGTTCATCGCTTGTACATTTAAGCTCCCTACACAGCCTTAATTGCATTCGCATTAATATGATTAATCAACTTAATTGAAATTATGTTAATGATAGATGACTAACCCTTTTTAAAGTCTCAACAAAATCAATTTCTGTTTTAATCAACACATAAAACGAGACATTGACATTAATTAGTTACACTATCAAGTTAGTGTGGAATAAATTATGCATATCAATGTACACTTACCTGCACTGTAAAATATGCACAATGTATATTTATAGGAAGACACAGTATGCATATATGTGATATAAATTTATAGCCAGGCATATTATGTAAAGGATGAGCATGATACATAATTCGAGTTTCTTATATACCACTTTATTTTATCACAACCTAGTTCGTAGGTCATCTCAAAGCGGTTCATAAATTATTATCTGTAGTTATAGGGCATTTGCAACCAGCCAACATCTTTCTCAGTGGCTCAGTGGTAGAGCGTTCAACTAGAAAGTCTGGGGTTGCAGATTTGATCCCCAGCAAACATATTTTTCCCCCCATTTCCTTTCTATTACAAATCTATATTCATATGCACCATTGTGATTATAAGCACACTGAACCATGTAGGATGGTGCACCATGTTTATTTGTGTGGAGGGTGGCAGCATCTGTATGCACTGTGAGTGTCTGTGTTACATCTTGTGTACTTCGTAGGGAATGTACCATACATCATATATAGGCAGACTGCAGGGCAAACTGATTTAAAGGCGGATAACACCATTTACTAAACCATGTTTACCATGAATACCAAACCGTGTAGATGTTTATAGACAGAAGCCACACCATGTGCATATTTGATATTCCAGGGGTTACAGTCTCACTTGCACTCTCTGCAGCCCTGGAGTATGTAATTACCAAATCGAAGTGTGCACCACCTTGTGGATGAGACAAGAAGACTAGTTTGATCCTTTAACATATCTAAAACATTCTCAGGGTCACTGAACGTAAAATTGCACAGCTGTGAAGTCAGGTGTAGTTCTTATGTAATCATCAAAGGACAGGTATTATCCTAGCAATTAGTCAGGTGGTTTTTTTACCTGAGACCAATCAAATATCCAAGTTCACGCCTTCTATTTTGCTATGACATATTCCAGGGGTGAAGAGAGTGTAAGTGAGCGTAACCCCTGGAGTAGAGAGGAGGCACCATGTACTACCATAGGTGCACGATTTACACACTACAGTAACTGAGACAGGTTTAAGGATCCCTTGTCCCACTGCACTGTGGTTTTTTGCAGATACAGTAATCTCCCCTTAATTAACTCTGGATATAACTGTAGCACAGTTGGGCCTGACGCTTCTGCTGTCCAGGTAGCTCAGTTGAATTGGTTGAGGGGTATATCATACACAGATACACAGATCTTATTCTGGCTATAGGACTTAAAAAAATACTCTGCTGTCAGCTCAATACGGTTTGAACAAATTCTGACAATTTTATAATAATCTTAGTCCCGATTTTAATCTCAAGACCATTCCAGCTGAATGACAGACCACTGTTGTTGATTATATTTGTGTTTATTTCTTCTTCCTAACTTTTTCATACATGTCCCTCAAGGTAAGGTTTTCTTTAAAATAAATTACTTATCAAAGCTAAAAACAGTGTATTATGTATGGTTACAGCTTATGACAGTGGTATGGGGATCCTTAAACTAAAGCAAAGTACACCATTATGAGTCTGAGAGCGAAGTGAAACGCCTAGAGCTCTGTGATCTATGACACATAGATTGTATCAGTCTAGCGATCACTGACAGCAGACGACATTACGCATGGAATGCATGCTTTTTTATTGCTCTCAAAACTACATGCACTCACGAATGCAGACATTTTCAACATGACAATTACAGACCCTAAACAAATTAAAAAAACCCATAAAAATCCAGCCCTTTCCCTGATCACATGCACCCGGAGCTTATCTTTATTACAGAGGAACATTGTAAAGCTATACAAATAAAAAATTCATTAAACATCTCCCATTTTACCTTCTGCCATAGATCTATTCTTCTCCCTTCTCTCTCAACATTCTTTCACTTAATCATGTCTCTTCTTTTTCTTCTTACATTTCTTCCGTCTTTCTACCTCTCTTCAGTTCACATCCTTTATCTCTGTCCAACTCCATCTTATCTTATCTCATTTCCCCCCCACAGGCATCACCCATTCTCTTGTTTTCTTTCTTCTTTCCTTATTCTTTCCTTCCTCCATCCTTTTCATTTCCCTTCCAAACTTTACTTACATTAATAGTTCTTCAGATTCTTCTTTACCTTTGCCCCTTCCTCAGTTAACCCCATTCCTCAACTAACCCCCTTCCCCAGCTAACCCCATTCCACTTCCTTCCTTCCCTACCTCCTTTTCTTCTTTCCATTAATTCCTGCATCCTTCCCCCTTTCTTCTCCTCGTCCTTTTTTTACTTCTAACCCTTCCCTTCTTTCTTCCCTTC